AGTTCGAAGTACCTTATTTCGAATTAGTTGAAACTTACCTTGGTCCACACTCGGCAGGCAGGCTCCCCCGTCGACTCCGCGGTACTCCTCTCGGCGAGCTGGAGTACCGCAGTCGACGGCGAGCACTTCCGGGTTCGACTTATCGCGTCCAGACTAGACGCGATAAGTCGAACCCAGAAGTTCGATTTCCAGCCGTCGAACTTGCCGGTAAGTGTAGCCAAGGCCTTAGTGTATATAGTTCTTAGAGTTAGTAGATATAGTTGTGTAAATAGTTCTCCCTGTCATCGAGGGACTTTTCACCCCAGGTGCTGGGCATGCCCCAGGCTTCAAGACATGTGCCCCTTTTGACAAGCCAATGCCAGTGAGTGACCCACACTATAAGTGTCTAAAGTGTCTGGGGGAATCTTACAATAAAGATAAGTGCCTGATCTGCAGGGACTTCAGACCTCGCACTAGAAAAGACAGGGACATTTGACTGAAGGCCATTCTCCTGGAGGTGGCCCTCAGACAAGTCTCGGAACCAAGCCATTTCGAATTGGCACCAAGCACTTCGACATCCGTACAGAGTGCTCCACCGGCACCGTGCTCTTCCTGGCGCTGTTCTCCATCTCCGGTGCTGAGGAAGAAGCATATCAGTAGAGTCTGGGCCACATTCCAGGTGCTGGGCCTGCTGATAAACGAGCAAAAGTCAACTCTGGTCCTGGTTCAGAGGATAGAGTTCATCGGGGTGCTTGATTCATTCCAAGTCAGAGCCTTCCTGCTGATACAGTATGCACTTCAGCCCCCTCTAGATGTGGCTGGTATCAGTCTGCTCCCTAAACAGGCAGCATTTAGATTCAGTGCTCAAAGTCCCGTTTCCAGTCCTAACTTCCATGACCTTGTGGAAAGACCAAGGATCGGTAATGAAGAGAGTACCCTTTACTGCCCCTCAACTCTCGGTCACTTTAGTCTCGGACACGTCAGACATAGGGTGGGGAGCCCACCTCTGCAACCTCAGGACCCAGGCCTCTAGTCCCAAGAAGAACTCTCCCTACATAAAAATGTCAAGGAACTCAGGGTGGTACGCTTAGCTTGCCAAGTGTTACTTCCCCACATTTCAGACCAAATGGTACAGGTCTTGACAGACAACACCGCATCCATGTTTTACACCAACAAGCAGGGAGCGGCTTGATCTTCAGCTTTGTGCTGTCTTCTGGATGTGGGACTTCTGCGTGAAACATGCCATTCACCTTGAGGCGATGCATCTTCCAGGAGCCCGAAACGTACTGGCAGATCACCTCAGCAGACTCTTTTCCTCTCACCACAAGTGGTCTCTTCACCCGGAGGTCGTCAGTGTCATCTTCCAGAGGCGAGGGCCTTCCCAGGTTGACCTCTTCATCACCAAGAAGAACAGGAAATGCCATTAGTTCTGTTTGCTTCACGGGCACAGCTCAGGCTCCCTCTCCGACACCTTCCTGCCCTAGTGAGCAGATCATCTGCTGTACACCTTTCCTCCAATCGCCTTGGTTCACAAGGTTCTCCTAAAAATCAAATTGGGCACGGTGAGGGTTATCCTGATAGCACTGATGTGGCCACACCACCATTGGTTCAGCATACTTCTGGACCTCTCAGTGGCAGCCCCACTCGCGCTCCCACTCCATCCAGACTTGACTTCAGAAGACCACGGCAGGTTGCTTCACCCAAACCTCACTTCCCTGTTCCTGATGGAATGGATGCTGCATGGCTGAACTCCAAGGAACTGGCCTGTTCGGATCAGGTTTGACAGGTCTTGCTAAGCAATAGAAAGCTTCCACCAGGCTACCTACTTTGCCCAGTGGAAATGTTTCTGAGCATTTAGCACACAGGATTAGATGCTGTTTTGGAGCACTTAGCCATAGCCCTTAGTAGGTGACTCATGAGGCAGAACCTTCCCCCACTCTCCCACTCCCGCTACACAGTTTCCCCTTCGCTACCTTATAGCCTTTAATTAATACTTACATTTTATGTGATCCCTAATTTCCTTTACCAAATGATATCTCAAAATACAAATAGCCATGTCGTCCCTGGCCCTAGCCATAAGTGTTCAAGGAATGGAGAGTGCAAAGAGCATCCTCCCAGTTTGTGCACTCTATATAGAGAGCAGGGGCCTGAGTATGAGTTTTAAATGAGTGTAACTCCAGCATTGTCATAGGACTCGTGTTTTATTTTCATGGGTGTGAGAGCATCATCAGTTCCATCTGTTTTCAGGTGGGGACAAAAATTTCTACTTCCAACATAGTGTTAGTGAATTATTAGACTAAATACTTCACCATTGTAAGTCTTTGACCACTACTGTAAGAGACCCAAATTGGAAAATGACATCTGAGATAGTCTTATGAGTAACAATAAAATCACAGCTTTTTAAATTCTAAAAGATAAAACTCAAAAACTTAATAAAATTATAGCTACTATTTGTATTTTACGTTTGGCGCTTCAATTTTCTTTTGACTTTTTTTTCTTTTATTTTATTATGAGTTCTCTTCCACTTGATTGTGACCAGATTAAATATGCTCTAGTCCACTATTTATTTGGTGTTAAATAGAAAATAAATTGACTTAAAAAATCATGCGCTCATAATTAATAGGTTTCACTAAAATCTTACAGTAGATTGATCAGTTTTCTGGTTCAGTACATAAATACAAAACCCAGTGAATAGTGATTAAAATGCCAGTTTTATCCATTAGTATATTATCAGTTCAAAAAACCAAAAACTACACTATTGACCTATACTAATAATTTAGAAATGAACTGGAACAGAATACCATTCTTGTATTAACATAGTATGACTGCTTCATAATGTGAAGAATTTGTAGTCCTATTAGCTTTGTATAGTAAAATATTACTTCTAATTCTAAAAATACAGTGTGACATAAATATAATTTGGTTACAATTGTTAAAAGAAATACAGTAGTACTGAAAATTGCCAATAAAATAAGAGTTGCCATTACAATACAAAGGACCTTCTTTGTCTTTATTTATGTTTGTAATGTTTCCTAAAGAATTTTCAGAACTATATTTTAACATTATGTATGATGTAAATAACTATGATAACATGATTATACAGAAAATGTTCACAGCATTATTACTACTGTTACTTGGATGGTGTTCATGTTTCTTATGCACTTATTTAAATTAGAACAAAGCATTTGGAAATAGTTACATACTTTTATATATACAAAAACTACTATGTTAATCTTACGGTACTAGGAATTTTCAAATGTTAATAATAGAAATGATAGCAATCGAAATCTTGACTTCCAGCTCTAAGAGGTGGGGAAATCTAAATTGCATCATATGCTATTTGCCAGTATTCAGTTATGGAAAGCATTGTCATTTTCAGGTTATAGCATTCATAGACTTAGAGAAGTGTGAGACTGGACGGGACCTCACTAGGTCAGTCCAGTCCCCTGCACTTGAGGCAGGAATAAGTAATGACTAGACTATTCCTGATAGGTGTTTGTCTAACGTGTTCTTAAAAACCTCCAATGATGGAGATTCCACAACCTCCCTAGGCAATTTGTTACAGTGCTTAGGTACCCTGACAGTTAAGAAGTTTTCCAGATCTCCAACCTAAATTTCCCTTGCTGCAATTTGAGCCCATTGCTTCTTGTCCTATCCTCAGAGGTTAACAAGAACAATTTTTCACCTTCCTCCTTGTAACAACCTTTTATGTACTTGAAAACTATTATCATGTTCCCCCTCAATCTTCTCTTCTCCAGACTAAACAAACCCATTTTTTTCAATCTTCCCTCCTAGGTCAGGTTTTCTAGACATTTAATTATTTTCATTGCTCTCCTGTTTCCCGGGGTTTTCCGAATCCAAAGTTCTTGGTAACTTTACTCTTGGCGAGGCAGTGGCAGGAAATAAATCAGTGAGGACACAGCCACAAATCCATGTTGACTGTTACTTATTATCTTCTAGGGTCTGAAAATTGATTGCTCTATTATTTGCTCCATTATCTTTCCGGGTACTGAAGTTCAGCTAATTGGTCTGTAATTCCCTGGGTTATTCTTATTCCCCTTTTTATAGATTGGCACTATATTTCAATCCTCTGGAATGTCTCCTGTCTTCCATGAATTTTTGAAAATAATTGCTAATGGGTCAGATATCACCTCAGTCAGCTCCTTGACTTGAAGACATCCAATTTATCTAAGTAATTTTTAACCTGGTCTTTCCCTATTTTAACCTGAGATCCTGCCTCATTTTCACTGGCATTCACTATGTTAGATGTCTGATCGCTACTAACCTTTTTGGTGAAGACTGAAACAAAAAAATCATTTAGTACTATAATTTCCACATGTTCTGTTATTGTCTTTCCCCCCTCATTGAGAAATGGGCCTTGATCTTCCTCTTGCTTCTGATGTATTTATAGAATGTCATCTTGTTATTTTTTTATGTCTCTAGATCATTTAATCTCATTTTATGCCTTGGCCTTTCTAATTTTGTCCCTACATGCTTGTATTGGCTTTTATTTTATATTCATCCTTCATAATTTGACCTAGTTTCCACTTTTTGTAGGATTCTTTTTTGAGTTTTAGATCATCAAAGATATCCTGATTAACCCAGGGTGGTCTCTTGCCATATTTCCTATCTTCCCTATGCAGTGGGATAGTTTGCTTCTGTGCCCATAATAATGTCTCTTTGAAAAACTGCCAACTCCCTCAAACTCTTTTTTCCCTTAGACTTACCTACCAACTCCCTGATTATGCTAAAGTCTGCCTTCTTGAAATCCATTCTTTATTCTGCTTCATTTTCTCTCCTACTATTCATTAGAATCATGAACTCCATCATTTCATGATTACTTTCATCCATGCTGCCTTACAGTTTCAAATTCTCAACCAGTTCCTCCCTATTTGTCAAATCAAATCAAGAACAACCTCTCCTCTAGTGCTTTCTCCATCTTTTGAAATAAAAAACTGTTTCCAGTGTATTTAAACATATTTCATCATATCATATTGATATTTATATAGATTACAAGCACAGCTTGAATATCTATTTCAGTGCAATATGAATGTGTTTCAATAGTGATGTTTCACTTGAACAAAATGCACTTTTTAAAATAAGACATACTGTGCAGGACAAGTATTCTATACGCTGGTTTAAATGATGCTCTTTACTGTGCAGTGCAGAAGGAGCAAGTTTAAACAAAACTGGCCACGTGTTCAGAATGCATGGAAATGGGGATCAACACCAGGGTGACATGATCTGCTTCTCCTTCCTGGGCAAACTTCTGTATGTGAACAACATTTGCTTGTGGCTTTCCAGATGTGAGAAAGGTCATATTAGAGTGGAGATAGTTGAAACAAGGGAGTAGATGCTCTGCATGATGTGCTTTTTTCCCCAATCCATGCATTTTCCATTCGAAGATGCCAAACTAGAATTCATGGTGTGTGGAGTAGAATTTGCACTCAATGTTCTTCTTCGAGTGTTGTCCCTGTGGGTGCTCCACATTAAGTATTCGTGCGCCCCTGCGCTCATAATCAGAGGATTGTGGTAGCAGTACCCAGGGCCGCCCAGAAGATTCAGGGGGCCTGGGGCAAAGCAATTTTGGGGGCCCCTTCCATAAAAAAAACTTGCAATACTATAGTAATATGTATTTGGAAATGTAAAAAATAACCAGTGAAATACATTCAAATATTAATTTGTAATAATTTGAAAATACACAAAATACATTATTTAAAACATTAAATGCTTTAATGGTATGTATACATTTGCAATTACATAATGGTCTGTCGCTGGGTGATGGTGATGGTTGGTGCCAATGGGCTGTCGCTGCCTGGGGGTGGCGCTAATGTTGCCCGGGGCTGGGTGGGGAGCTGGGCTCTGGGTCGGGAGGTGCCTGGCTCAGAGGGGCTGGGCTCGGAGCTGTAGGTCAGGGCTGCGGGGGGGATGGGGTCGGGGGTGTCCGGCTCAAAGGGGCTAAGCTCGGAGCTAGGGGTCAGGGCTGTAGGGAGATGGGGTCATGGGGGTGTCCAGCTCAGAGGGGCTGGGCTCGTAGCTAGGGGTCAGGGCGGTGGGGGGATGGGGTCGGAGGGTGTCCGGCTCAGAGGGGCTGGGCTCGGACTAGGGGTCAGGGCTGTGGGGGAGATAGGGTCAGGGGGGTGTCCGGCTCAGAGTAGGAAATTTTCTACTGATCGAAATTAAGATTCTATTATGTATATCTTTAAGGACTTAGTTATGCCACCCTGAGTCACACAAGTAGTACAGGAAATCAACAGGGCTATACAGGACTATCAGGAGTAAGGTACTATTCAGTGTGACTCACTGCTAAGTCAATAAGGATTTAGTCTCCTGTTTTGTTTATGCATAAGAATAGATCTCATTGACCTCAGTGCAAGCTACATGTACATATCAAGGGACAAATAGTTCCACAATGGGTTATATTCTGCTCTCAGTTACTCTGATGTAAATCTAAAATAACTCCACTGAATATAGGAAAATTATTCTGGATTTTCACAGATGTCATTAAGAACAGGATGTGATCTGATCTGAAAGTGGTCTTGTTCTGAGAGTAGAATCTGAACCTCAGTATTCTTACGTGGTAAAAAACTGAACATAAAGGGAAAGATTCTGATCTGTGATTGACATCAGAGGAGTTATACCTTAGATTGACATTAGTATAACTGAAATAGATTCCAGCCCACGGACTTTGAAAATGACTCATGATTAGATCTGGGTGAACTTTTTTAAACAAAGCTTTGTGAATTAATGTTGAATTTGCTAAATTGTTTCAGCAAAAAATAAATGAGTTTAATTTTGACATTTTTAAAATGAATCATTTTGATTTTTTGATTGAAACTGCTGTTTGAATTTTGCTTCAGTTTAATATTTTTAAAAGGTAAAAATAATGATGTCAAATGAAACAAAACGTTCAGCCACTGAACTGAAAAATCAGTTATTCACACAGTTCTACTCATAATGACAAATGTATGTAGCACATTTCTCAAATATTTTAATTCACTGCTTGTACATTATACACTTATCCATAGTACTGTAACTATAGATTTAACTTGCATGTTATTTTTATTTCATATTTGTGCTTTAATTCTTTTTATAAATGTTTAGGTTGAAATAAATCTAAAGCGTTATCCAACTCCATACCCAGAAGATTTAAAGAACATGGTAAAATCTGTTCAAAATCTGGTGGGCAAAACAAGCCATGGAGTGAGGCCTGAGAACTCAACCCCAGCTGCCAACAGTGAGCAAACCATGAAAGAAAAGTATGAGCACAAGTGGCCTATGGCAACAAAGGAGATTTCAGTGGAGGTAATATTACAAGATTATTGTTACTTTCAAGAGCTCAACAAGGGTTTTAACCTGGCTCCATTACGTGACATTGTTTTATATCTGATCTTAAAATCATAGGCAATTGTTTCTGGTTTTAACTTTTTTTATTAGAATCAGATTAATTTTTCCTAGTTTTTCTCTAAAATTAATTGAGACTCATTTTCTCAGTTTTCAATCTGAGTTGATAAGGATCTATTCTGCTGTTCATGTGTGTCTGTAACTCTCCTAAATGTTAATGGCAGTGAAATATACATAGCAGTAGCAGAATAGACCATATAATAATTTACATCTCAGTCATATACTCATAAATGTCTTCTTGATTCAGATATGTAATGACAAATCTAATGATTTAGGGCAAGATTCTGTCTTGTACTCACATTGAGTCTGATCCTAAGGTTACTGAAGTCAACAAAAGTCTTTCCATTGACTTCAATGAACTTTACGTCAGGCCCATTGAATAATATTTACTGAAGAAGTCTCATAGATGTCAATTGGACTACTTATGAAGTAAGGTACTATTCATTGTGAGTGTGAGTTGCGGAACCTGCTCCTTAAAAAATAGATACTTACCAAGAGAAGGTAAGTCCTTATATTGTCCTTATATGGTAAAAGGCTGCAATTCTAGCGTGAACATTGTTGAAAGTTATTTCCAAAATTTAGTACTAGCTATATGGAGCCAAATTCAGAGCTGGTGTAAGTAGGATCAGTTCCTTTGATCTCAGTGGACATTTACTCACTTATACAAAGTCTGAATTTTTTAAACCAATTAATTACAATTTAAAAACACAAATTACAGCTATGATGATGCTTGCAGTACTTACTGATCATTTTATAACATACCTGGAGAGATCCATGGAAAGCACCTGACACTTTTGGAAGCCCCTATAAAACCCAAATTTTAAAAAGAAAATAAATTTGAAAACAAAGGTTTCAGAGTAGCAGCCGTGTTAGTCCACCAAAGCTTATGCTCTAATAAATTTGTTAGTCTCTAAGGTGCCACAAGTACTCCTGTTCTTTTTTCGAAAACAAAGTCACTCAATCTTTATCAAATTTTCTTTTCACCTCTTTGTAATTTAACTGTTACAATTGATGCATTATCCTTGAAAGGTACCACCCTGTGGCCAGCTGTTGCTGTGTAATTACGTTAATTTGTCTTCACCCATTGTGCATGTACCACTGCAGATTGGGTTGTTTTCACATATCCAATAGTCCTAGTAATCATTGCTCCACTCATTGCACTGCTATGTGTGTTTCATTTACAGTGAGAATATTTCCATTTCTTTTGGGCTTGTTCGTATTAAAGCACACTTTAGCACAATTATTTTCCCTTGGGACTGCTTCCACAAATGTTCACAAAATCTAGGTACTGCTTCAGTTGGGTACTTTGATCAAAATTAAATAATTTGCTGTTTTCTTTAAAGTCCTTGAATCCAAATGTTATTTCTTTTAACTCTCTGAAATACATTCTAATCATTTAACTTTCACCAAATGTTGTTACAATCCTGTTCCTTCAGTCAGGGTATTTGTGCCATTTTGTTCTCATCAACTAGATAAATTTGTATTGTATCATCTAGCTTTGAACAGCAAGGAGCCTGGAGCCCAGGTGGCACCTGGTCCAGAAGCCGGGAGCCCAGGTAGCTGCTGTGCTCCCAGTGGGAAGCAGAGAGCCCAGGTGGCAGCCTGGTGAGGGGCAAGGACCGGGGAGCCTGGGCGGTAGCCTGGTGGGGACTGGGGAGCTGGGTGGCAGCCTGGCTGGGAGTGGGGGGGCAGCAGAGCTCTCAGCGGGGAGCCGGGAGCCTGGGTGGCAGCCCAGCCTGAAGTGGGCATCCTGGGTGGCAGCCCAGTGGGGAACCAGGAACCGGGGGGGACAGCCAGGCTCTAGCTGGAGCTCCCCCTCGCCCCAGGGTGACAGCCCGAGCTCTGAGCCAGGTGCGGGGTTCATAGCAGGGAGCCTAACGGTCTTTCTTTTCAATTTCACTGTTCCAGCTGGGAGCTGTGAAATTGACAAGCATGACAGCCAACAGCCAAAGTAAGTAACAGTGTCTACATGGACACTGCGTTGCCTTAACTACACCGAGCTAATCCCTATGCCTCTTGTGAAATTGGAGTTATTATGTCGATGTAGTAGGGCATTTACATTGGTGGGAACAAGGCTGTAGTGTAGACACTGACACAATTAGGTCAATGTAAGGCAGCTTATGTTGACCTAACTCTGTAGTGTAGACCAAGCAGTAGAAAATCAAGCATTCCAAAAGAGCCACCTGTCTGATTCAGACAACATTCATAACTTGACTTTGGAAATCCCAAACAGGAAGAAGAAAGAAGAACATACAGAAAGTTCAGAGGTACAATAAGAAACTTAACATGCACTGTGCTTTTACCCACGAAAGCTTATGCCCAAATAAATCTGTTAGTCTTTAAGGTGCTACCAGACTCCTTGTTGTTTTTGTAGATACAGACTAACACGGCTACTCCCCGATACAAAAATTACAGTATATCACAGCTTGAGAATGCTACATATGTACTTTTTCAAAAAGGACATTGGATGATAAGTTTGTATATTGGGGTGGAAACTGACTGATGCATTGGCAAAATGTTATTAAATAATGACCAGCTTTAAGTTGTGTGTGTATTTATTATGTTGTATAGGAAATACAAAATAGTATAAAGGAACTGTAACTGGTATATCAAAATAATTTAAGGTCTTGAATATATTACAATAAACATGGAGCATGTGTAAGAAACAAATATATATATTTGTTTTGCCAACATTGAGGGACTGACTAAACTGGCTGATAAGGAATCTAAGGAATTTTGGGAAGGCATAACTATATGTAAAGCAAAAATATTAAAATATCACTACAGAAGTATAATAGTACTCTCAAAGGACTGTATATGTGGCAATCCTCTCACTTATTTTTGCTTCACTCATGTTACTAAAAGCAATTAATAAAGTATAAATCTTATAAAACTATGACAATAAGAGCAATAGTAACATGGTTTCATTTTTAATTAATGAAATTGTGTTTTCGAATATGGCATCTCTTTCCTTTCTTTCATCTTTTCCACAAAGTCATTTAACTCACTATTGATGGAATAACTTTGCCAACAAAGTGCTGGAGACACAGGGTCTCATAGTGCCTCAACCCCCCTCCACCTTCTGTAGCAGAAGTGCTCAGCTACAAGTATACCTCCAGCAAGGCTCAAACCACCTCTCTTCCCCCAACATTCCCTCCATCACTCCTACTTATAAATGCCAATTTTTCCTCCCTCTCCATTCTAACACCACTCATTCGCTCCCTCTCTCTCTACTACCAACTCTTCTCCACCAAATGTCCATTCTTCTCCCCACGACAGATACCATCATCCCCTCTTCCCCAAACCTGTGTCCACCCTTCCCAGAAGGTCTTTTCTGAATCTATTGTCCCCCTAACTCATCTACCGTCCACGTCTCTCACCAAGGCTGTGTCCCACACCAGCCTTCCTGCTCCTTGAGGCAAGGTACCCCACTCCCAAGACAATCCCCCAGAGCCTGTGTTCCATCAGAGTGCCCCTTATGGCTGTGTTCCATCAACTGCCTTTCCCAGGGTCTCCCCTGAGCTTGGATACCCACGTAACTCCTCTAGATAGTGTGTTTTCCACTATCTCCCTTTCCACCTTGTGTCCTTCACAAGGTCTCCATGGGCAGTCTCCTCCTCATACCTGAACCATGTCCATGTCATGATGGGAAGGGAAGAGAAGGAGAAATACAGAGAACGATCCCTCTTCATATCTCCATTCCTTTCACTTAGCTGCCCTGTTCTGTGATTCCCTAATTTTAATTACCCCTCCGTGGATCAAGTCACTATCTCACTTCCCTTCTTCCTCTTTCTTGGTTTTTGGTGTTTTCAGAGCATATCTGATAGCTGGTTAGTACAGAAAATCAGTCAGATTGGAGCTGTCAGACAGTGGCAGCATTTGGGCTCAGTTACATGTATGGAATCATAAAGCTTCTCAAGGAGGGAAGCAGCAACTATCTGGTTGGAAATGAAAAACAAAGGGATAAATTGGGCTAAAACAGTTCTGAGTGAAGTGAGAGATCATCAAGCAGTAGCAGCTGCTGGCTGAGTGATAATGAACAAATGGATGAGTCTAGAGCATTTCTGACTGGAGGTTGGGTTGTTGACTTAACAAGACAGTTTTATGGTTGAGCTGTGGACAAAGAATCTGATGCTGGAAATGACAGCTGTAAAAGAGGAGCCACGCCCAGTTGGGAACAACTGAGAAGGCCCCCCAATCATATATTATTTTACTTTTTAAATTAAATGGGTTCAATCTTACACAATCTAAGGACTCAATTTGAATTTATTTCACTACTAGGAAGGCAAAAGGGCAGAGTCTAGGAAATCCATTGAGTTAATTCCCCTTACTCTTCCTTATCAGTCCCTAAAATCAAAATATTGGTGCCCCTTTTGACCCGAGTAGCAAGTCAAAGTTTGGGGTCTCGTTGGTGTACCAGTTGGGAGTAGAAATTGATGGTAGTCAGATATTTCTTTATGCTGTTTTGTTTATTTACAAAGAATGTACGAAGTGGTCTGTCTCTGACTACAGAAGGAATGAAATAGCACGAAACAGCTTCTTTTGCTTATAGCACCAGGAGCATTCTTTCCAGCCTGCACTCCTGACCCAAAAATCTCTCCCCAGGCTTCTTCCAGGGACAGCTATCATATTTTCAATAGCTCCCTTCTGTGTGTGCGGGCGTGTGGGTCCGCTCTCTCTCTCATTCCTTCTCAGTTTCTTTGTGTCCTGTCTTCCCATACACACACCTGTCCAAAACAATACTCAGCAAAAGCTCCTGGGTGCGTACATGCAATCCTTTTGTCTTATGCTTACAGTTATGTTAACTGAAGGGTGAATTCACACCTATGAACCACAATCCCATAATAAGGTTTCATCCAACTCATACAATATCAGAAACAACACTTAAGGGGGCACCATGGATGACTAGATTGGTGGACTAGGGGACCTGGGTTCTATTCCTGGCTCTGCCATTGTTTCACTGTGTGACCTGGAGCAAGTCACTTGATCTCTCTGTGCCTCAGTTTCCTTATCTGTGTGTTGGGATAATAGCGCTTTTCTATCTTGATAAAGTTCTTTGAGATTATGGATGAAAAATAAATATGTAAATGCTAGGTATTATAAAACAAGGGTTTTATAAGTAGATCAGAGATGAGTCAGAATCTTTGGAGTTCTATCAGACCATTCAAAGTTCTCCCTGCATTTCCAACCCTAAATTTTCTTTACATTTACAATTTTCTTTGTTTAAATTCTGTGAACCTAGTGAATTTTGATTTTCAAAATGTTTTTCAGTTTAATCCTAATATGAATTATTCTATTAAAGAGAGCTGTAAACTATGATTTCTAAAATAATCTTTCAAGTCATAATTAACCAAAAGTGTCAGAATACATATTTCAACCAATAAAAGCACATGTTTTGTTTAAAAACAGAAACAAATGACTTACTGGTCTAATTCTTTGCAGCAGGGATCTTAGCAGCACACATCTTGTTTGCTCTTGCATTATGTAGTAAATCTTTTGAAGTTCAGCCAGATTAGCATTTGCTCTCAAAACACAGAGTTAACATTATTATTAGCCTAAGTTCATAGAAAATTCTTTTGGAGCCAAGATAGCTTCTTGGTTCAGTGCAGATGTAGGGACAGTTGAATTTGTAAAGATCTGTCCCATTGTAATCAGAACAAATGAATGAGTAATACTTAATTCTTCAATAAGTGAATAGTTTTTTCTAAATTTTCATTCATTTCTACTTAAATTTTACATTTTTGTAAACTTTACTCCATCAAGAATGTGTGTGTGGTCTTGACACATCTCATAAGTTCTATCTAGTTCATCTGCATGTTCAGAATAAACACACTATCATCATAATATTACTGCTTTGTTATAATATTTTATGAATAAGTAGAATTGTAGAGTGACAAATTCAGCATGATTAGAATGATATTGTCTGTGCCTGGGTTTATATAGTTCCATGTTCATGACAAATGTGGCTGTTTCTTCATTGCCTTTTGCAAGTCCACCTTACTATAATTTTATTTTATACTTTGGTATTATTCTCTCTCTCTTAGGATTCCTTTGGACACCCTGCTAATGACATGAGGATAGGAGAACTTCGCCCTTCAATGGCTGAAGCTCCCTTGTACCAACCCAAACTTGTTCTTCTGGGTAAAGAAAAGAAAGGTACTACAGTATCTTGACTCCCAAAGGTGTTCAGTGAAGGCATGTTTAATGCATGCAGCTAGATAGATGAGCTATAAGTAATACATTGTGCTGGGATGTATTGGATACTACACTCTGATTTGCAGATATCTTACAAACATGTTTTTAAATATATGCATAATATCAGTTTGAACATTTATTTTTCCAGAACGTTTAGTTTCCGATGCTCCAACCCCACATAATGCTTGTTCTATTTTATTTCAGAATCAACAGACGAATCTGAAGCAGATAAAATCCACTGTCTCAATAACAGTGTTTCCTCAGGCACTTACTCAGACTACTCACCTTCCCAAGCTTCCTCAGGGTCCTCTAATGCTCGTGTTAAAATGGGGTCCTTGCAAACAACTGCCAAAGAAGCAGTGAATAATTCTTTGTGGGGTAACAGGTGTGTATATGTTTACTGGGTCTGATTCTCTGTTGCTTCTCACCTTGTGTAGTCATATACAGCTGGCCAAAGTGAGGGCATACTGCGTATTTAAGGCTGTCAAACAAGAAGAGCGTTTTACACCCATTTTTCCCTGGCAGCGATAACAATACAAGGTGAAGAAAGTGGGGAGTCAGGTTCTCTGTTATATTTTCTAAAGTGAAATAACCACATACTGAAAGTGCGTAGTAAATTGCTATGCTCTAAGGTTTGCAGACAATAAGCCTAGATCCTGAGCTGAGGAGTCTTGGCACACTTTAGGATTGACAGAATGCTTGTAACCTTTATACTCCCCCAGCCCTCAGTTTGTCCTGAGAGGATCGCTGCACAAATAAGAAGCCTGAAAGCTGCTTTAATTTTCACTGGCTATCAACAGCCGCAAGGGGACTATTCCAGCAGCTGGGGATTGCCAGGGCATGGGGATACCGAGTCACTTCTTCTCTACCCCCAGCCATGCCCCTACACTGGCAACACAGAATAGAAACTGCTACAGCAGTTCTTTACCACCAAAAAGTGCCCTACACATGGGGAATCCTCCATATCATTAAGCTTGCTTTATGGGGATGCCATTGCATTGCTGCAGAAGCACAAAGCTGTCCAACTGGACAAGAGGATCAGGGCCATCCTGCACCAAATTTTCAGAAGCTTCGTTTTTCAGCCTGGAATTGTGTTAATTCCTGGATTTATGTCAGCAGAGGCTTTTATAGCTGAATTATTTTGTGCAGAGTTATCCACTTTGCTGAAAAATAAGTTATATTACATACAAAAAATATTAAAACAATTATTTATGTTGAAAAGCTAAGCCCTCAAAAGTTAGAAAATGCCAGATTTCATGACAAAGCACTGGCATAATTTATATATATTGTAATATAATCCAAAGGGCTAGATATACATGAGAAAACATTAGGATGTTTTGTAAGAATTTCTTTCTGCTGATTGCTCACTTATTGTAACAGAGGCCCGGATAGTTTTCATTGCATTTTATTTTTACTTTTTGCAGGCTTGCGCAGTCTTTTCCACAGCCTCTTGAGACAAAGCCATTACTCAGCCAGCTAGAATCTGCTCCAGTGGGAAATCTGCAGCAGCGCAATGACAGGCATCCAATGAGTGACACTTTTGCTGACAGCTGGAATGATACCCCACACTATGATAACACAGGGTTTGTTGCAGAGGAGAGCACAGTGGAGAATCCTAGCACTAACCCTCTCTTATGCTCTAAATCTAGAAGCACATCTGCTCATGGACGCAGGCCTTTAATTAGACAAGACAGGATAGTTGGCATTCCCCTGGAACTTGAACAGCCTACACTCAGAAACACACCTGAATCAGAAGTGCCTCCTCCCAATCCTTGGCAGAATTGGACCAGAACTCCAAGTCCTTTTGAAGATAGGACAGCTTTTCCTTCTAAATTGGAGAGCACCCCCACCACCAGCCCTTTGCCTGAAAGGAAAGATCATATCAAAGAATCTCCTGAAGCAGCTAGCACTTTTTCTCCAGGAGTAGCGTGGGAGTATCATGATTCAAATGCTAACAGAAGTCTTAGTAATGTCTTTTCACATATTCATTGCCGTCCAGAGTCTTCTAAAAGTGTTATTGCAATGAGCAAGAGTACAGAGAGGCTTTCCCCAATGATGAGAGATTTAAAAACTAGTAAATTTAAGAAGTCGCAAAGTATTGATGAGATAGACATCGGTACATATAAAGTTTATAATATTCCATTAGAAAACTATGCATCCCGTAATGACAATGCAGGAACCCATGAAAGACTAGATAAAATGATAGGACAGGAGCATGGTATGTCTAGTATGTCTCGTAGCCAGTCTGTACCAATGCTAGATGATGAGTTGCTGAGTTATGGAAGTGTTAAGGTACAGCAGCAGCAAAAGCCTTCTGTTACCAAAAAAGTCTATCAGTTTGACCAAAGCTTCAACCCTCAAGGAGCAGTGGAAGTTAAAGCAGAAAAGAGGATACCACCACCTTTTCAACACAATCCAGAATATGTTCCCCAGCAGAGTAAAAACATTGCCAAGGATTTGGTTAGTCCAAGAGCCTATAGAGGCTATCCCCCCATAGAGCATATGTTTTCATTCTCTCAGCCTTCAGTTAATGAGGAGGCTGTTAATGCTCAGTTCTCAGCCCAGGGATCAAGGTCAGGATTTTTGAGAAGAGCTGATTCATTGGCAAGCTCCACTGAAATGTCAATGTATAGAAGAGTAAGCGAACCTCACGAACTGCCTCAGAGTGATAGGTATAGCAGACCTCAGTATAGAGCAGCTATGGAACGCCAAAGTAGTATCTCAGTGTCTGAAACCCAGTTCCTCAAAAGAAATGGCAGGTATGAAGATGAACACCCTTCATATCAAGAAGTGAAAGCCCAGTCTGGAAGTTTTCCAGTTAAAAACCTTACACAAAGGAGACCATTGTCTGCAAGAAGCTACAGTACAGAGAGTTATGGTACATCTCAGACTAGGCCAGTTTCAGCTCGGCCTACAATGGCAGCTCTATTGGAAAAGATACCATCGGACTATAACTTGGGTAACTATGGTGACAAGCCTTCAGATAACAGTGATGTAAAGACAAGGCCTACCCCTGTGAAGGGAAATGAGAGCTGTGGTAAAATGCCTGCAGACTGGAGACAACAGCTACTTAGACATATAGAAGCTAGAAGGTTAGACAGGGTATGTTTGGCATTTCTCTGGAATTAATGCTCTAGTTTTATATTTTAATATTTCTAAGTATGTGCATGTATAGTGGTGAATATACAAATTTCTGATTCTGAGATTCCCTGTATTTGTGTTAGGGGAACTCATCTGTGAAGGATTTTGTTGACATAAGATATATAATCAATTAGTATTGGGGGTTCTTGGGTAAATGATTTATGGAGGCTTATGTATAAAAGTATTTGGTACCAAAAAACCTGCTTCATTTAGTTACTACTTTGGGACTGCCTGAAATACTACAACCATAATTTCTATCAAAGAGCAGTATCAGCAATAGTAGAAGATTCTGAAATAAAACTAGAAAGGACTGAATCTTAGTGGAAAAATCTCAACTCTCCTGTTTTTTAATTTCCCAAAATGATATCACTAAACTTTTACCCATACAATAAATAGGAAGAATTTTAAAAACAAATTCAGAGAATATAAATAAGATTGAGAGTAGATGATCTGGATGGAATTACCGTCAACGTAAACCTGTAGAAAATAAATCCATTCTGAGTCCATTAGTGCAGTTAGCCAAAACAAGGTGTCTGGGATACCCAAGAAGGGCTTCAGTGGCCAATGGTTTCAAATCCTAGCTTAGTTTGTTGCTATTGTAAATTTAAATCCCACTGGTGTAAATTAATTGAATTATGCTACTAACCAAGATCAGAATCTTGCCCCATAATTTCAAAAATAATTTTAAAATTGTCTAGGGTATTTTATGCAACATATCTCCCTATTAGGTAAAACAGTTCATAGCAGAAAAAGCAAAAAATTGTAAGGAAACTATTACAAAAACTTTTCCTACTATTTTGAGTGAATGTATTTTAAAACTGTATTTGCTTGACTTTTTTGTGTTCCCAGACTATTGGACACAGTCTTCTTCAGTCCCCCTGTGATTTTGAATGCCCTTTCCCCAGTAGTTTGTGGCCAATAGTCATTTCCAACTCACTTCCTACTGAAGGATGCTAAACTGGGAGGGCCAGATGCATACCTTGATGGAACTCTGGGGGGTGCATGTAAACAACAATGTTACAGCTCCCCTATAACCTTCATGGAAAAATGTGAAAATTAATAATGGCTAGTGGGTGAGACTGCACTGCTGAAGAGTGGCCAAACAAACAAAGAGTCTTAAAATGGCCTTTTTCTTCCCTCATAGCCCCTTCATCAGCCTCCTCCTTTGTCCACCAGAAAAACTATTATACTGTGTAGACTACTAACCTGGTTTAAAATTTAATTTTTACTTTAAAATATGGAGTTCCCAATTCAGCTTTGTCAGAGCTATTTCATGGTGTATCTTAGGAAAAAAATGAAGAAACTTTTCAAAACTCATTTAGATGGCAGTATAGGTACCAAGATTTTCAATTTTTGGTCTTAACTCCACTTAAAAAGTACAGTAAGGATCTGACTCTGGCTGTACCTTTAGGAAGTGCACAGTACAGTTTGGGAAGGAGGGGCCAAATATGGCTTTATGCCACCCACCTTTGCATTTGTGACACTTTGGTTTCAACCCAGATCAGTAAGAGGTGTGTCACCACTTGCCTTGCAACTCTGGGTGCCTTAAATGCTATGTTATGGTGACTCACAGCCTTGACACCAACAGCCTGAACACAAGCATGCATGTCAGACCCTGACTTCCACTGCTTAGTTACTGTTTGCCAAGTGACCCAAGACCCTCCCAGTCCTGAATTTTCCCCAAACCATCTGCTCTGTAGTGTCCAGTCCTTCTGACTGTAGCACTCACAGAATCTTATTAAGTTCATTGCTCCTTTAAAGAGACTATACTCTGCAGCTCGTTAATCTAACTAGGGTTTGACAAACACTGTTATTTCAATCACAGCACTGGTTGGTTTAGATAAAAGGTAAAAACCAGCGTATTCAATTAAAAAGAGAGAGGTTTAAGTGAGGATAAGGGGTAAAAATAATAAGGGTTACCAAAAAACAAAAGTCAAAATATGCTTTATAATGGCTAAGATCTAACTTAAGCTACAGTCTTCAGTGAGGAAACTACCGTGTATAATCTTCCTTTTCCAGCAGTCAGTGACTAGCTCTTAGGATCCCCACAGAGTCCAAGATGCTGGTTTTCCTTGTCTCCTCAGGTGAAGAATAACTTAGGGGTTTTCTGCTCCTCTCTTTATAGTCCAGTAAACCTTTGAAAAGTATATCTCAAGGTTCATTGACCCTTCTTTGAAGGGCAGGAAGGCTTCCTGGGGGTTTAGTCTCCATCCCCCGCTGACATTGTGATTGCTTTTTCCCCACTTGCACTCCTTGTGGCTTTGTTTGCCTGGCATGCAAATATGCTTTTGTCTTTGGTCACACCTTACTCTATTTAGATGAAATACACATGCAAGCAGACGCAACCTCATTCCTTTGTCTGGGGGTTGGGGGGACTGTTTTATCAACTCCTTCTGATATGCCTGGTTTAAACATGTTTTAGTCATAACTCGAGAAAATCTGTGTAATCCCTTGTGGATTGACAGTACATACATCATGCAAGAATATTAATGATCAGTGAGTTATTTGTTTTCAAGAGATATATTACATGCCACCTTTTAAATATATATCATGACGAGTGTTGGCTGTAGTGAGTATGTCAGGCCTCATAGGAGTTGCTGACACAGAGTAGTGAACACCCAAGGGGCCTCTATGTCACAGCATACTTCAGATTCTTGGCTGCTCTAGTGTCGAAAATGGTCCCCCAGAGAGGGTGACTATATTTCCCAAAGAGAAAATGGGATACTGCGTGGGGCTCGCCCAAATCTCTCATCCAACCCCCCAGGCAGAGCTGGTCTGAGCTGCTTTCTTGAGTTCCCTCCTGCATGCAGGGCTGTCCTAAGCCACCTGGCATCACTGCTCGCCTGAACCCCACTGTGTGGGTCTGGCATTTGCCGTTCACTCCCCCAAGGTTTGCCAACCCTCCAGGATTGTCCTGGAGTCTTCAGGAATTAGACTAATCTTTAATTAAACATTATGTCATGTGATGAAATCTCCACGAATACATCCAACCACAATTGGCAAGCCTACTCCTGCCTCCCCGAACATTCTTCCATGCCCCATTGGGTAGAGTGCCCCACTTTTGGGGCAAAACTGGGCATTTGTCCCAAAAATCAGGACACCCAGGGTAGGGCTTAAAAAGGGGACCGTCCTGGCCAAAATGGGATGTATGGTTACCCTATCCCCAGCATAAATTGTATAGTTAACATATTATAGCCTATCTTGAATTATCTATGTGCTGCAACATAGGCCATAATCTCCATAGTGCCATGCATTATGGACCTGCCCCTTATAATGCCTCCTTTCCTTACCCCTGGCATCCCCGTTTGCTGGAGATTGCAGGGAGGACAGAATAAGGCCATGCAGGGAATTCTTCTGTGGCCCCATAAGGTGCTTATTAAGCCCTACTGTGCTGCCACAGCCCGGAGACAGAAAATCTGTTCCTAAAGTTTCATAGCACCAAAGCTACCTCTGAAGCACAGCTGAGTGCCACATTGGCTAAGGAGAAACATGGAACGTTTCCCACTGATGTCTCACCACTTGAACCCCTGATGGTCACATTTTAAAGGATACTTGTGCATCCTTTGTCAGACAGGCCTGCAAGAAAAACAGGCACCCTGGTTGCTGTGAATTTTACTTTCAAATGAAAGGTAAATTATCTACTTTCCATAGAGACTCAACCACCTCCAAATCTTGGCAACTAGACTTAGACTTTATCTTTGATGTCTAACGGCCAACACTCTTCAAATGGCCACATTTGTGGGAAATAACTTGTTTTCCCTCCATCCAAATTAGGATTCAGTACTCCCAGTTTAGTTTTGTAAGTAAAGATTCAATTTTAAAGCAGGGCCAATATTTGAAAAACACCAAAGCCAGGCTGGAAAAGGAAAGAAGGAGTTGCTGGGGGATGGTGACTACAGGCTAAAGCAATATTGCCTTTAAAAATAAAATTAAACTAGGTAATTAAAAAAATTGTACTGTTTTTCCTCTTCCTTTTTTTAAAACCAATCTAACTTACAGAAAGGATGGCTGGATAGTAGATTTGTTTTTTATATAAATGAGATGATTTTGTAATAAGGGTTCAAATTCTGCTCTCATTTACAGATGTGCAATAGGGGTATAATTTAATGCAGAATATGGTCTGTGGTTGGTAATGTATCATTCATGACTTATTGGGGTTTCAGCTGTGACATCGCTTTTTTTTTTTTAAAAAAAGGTCAAACCAATGAAAACTACTAACTAGAGCTGGTCAGAAAATTGATTTTCCATCCCTCAAAAAATTTTGAGATTGTGAAAAAAATTCATTCTGAATTGGGACATAAAGCCAAAATTTTTTGCAGAATAAATCTCTGGGGAAAAATTGTTTAGGGTCACTCAAAATGTTTTGTTTTGATATATATGAAGTTTTCAATTTTGATCCCCCTTTTATTTTTATAAAAATAAAGTAAATTTTAAATGAAAAGATGTTTTGAAATGAAAAATCAAAACTTTGTTCTGAAAATTTTGAAATAGGATGTTTTGACATTTTCAAAATGATTTCCAATTTTTAAATGAAATTTCACTGAAATCCATACAATTTCACAAAAAAATCAGATTAATCAAAATGGTATTTTCTAAATGAAAACTCTTTTAACAAAAAATTTCCAGTCAGTTCTACTTCTGACAATCACTAACAGAAGCCATATTAAAGTAAATAATTGATTGGTCGAGGTTTTGAAGACAAACTCATTATGACTTTTCTTCTCCAGCTTTGGGATGGTAGTGGCTTTCAGAAGTTCTTCACACATGACTCCATTGCCTTTAATAAGCACTCTTCATTGAAAAACTAACTCAGAAAGCTTAATTCTTTTGATTTCCAGGAGTCCTTACCAAAAAAAAGAAAAAAAGAAAGAAACCTGCTAATGGTCTTGTCAGAAATGATATGGGTGTACTGCTGAAACCCTACCATTTTAGTAATGCTCAGAGAGCATTGAAAGGCTCTT